TCACGTGACCCTGGGGGTGCTGCAAAGGTCATAAGTGTGAAAACTGGTCATAAGTCACTTTTTTCAGTGGCGTAATGTCGAATGGTCACTAAATGTAATGTTGTAAATCGAGGACTACCTGTAGTAAGACAGAAAGAGTAACTGCTAATTACGATCTCTTCACATATGGGAACTCATCCAGAGAAGCCATGAGAATTGATTATAGGGTTTCCTGCCTGAGCAGGGGGTTGGACTCAATGACCTCCAAGGTCCCTTCCAACTTTATCATTATTAATAATAATAATAATAATAATAATAATAATAATAATAATAATAATAATAAAGTTGGAAGGGATCTTGGAGGTCATCTAGTCCAACCCCCTGCTCAGGCAGGAAACCCTATACCATTTCAGACAAATGGCTGTCCAGTTTCTTCTTAAAAACTTCCAGTGTTGGCACATTCACCATTTCTGGAGCAACAATCAATGACCTGACATGCATTATGGTAGCTATTGAATTAAGAGCTGTTTGGCAGTGGAACATCCTGCCTTGGGTGACACTAAACTCAGCTTAAGCTGAAATGGAACAGCCATATCTCAGCTATGCTATTGATAGGAGGAGGTTGGCCTTGATGACCTTGAGGTTCCCTTCACTCTGTCACTCCAGTGGGACTTTTACTTACAAAATAAGGCGAGAAGGGTGATCTTCCCTTGCCCCTTTAAACTGGCTCTTTTCTGTATGTCTTCTCTTCCCCCTTCAACTTTGCTGCTGTTTTCGGGTCCTGCTGTTGTGTTGGCCAAAGGCCAACACACCCTTTCAGAAAGTTTAAATGACAGAGGAAGTGGCCCTTCTAAATAAATAAGGTTACTAGTTTTTTTTAATTTTTTATTCCCCTTTTCAGTGGCTTTTTGGTGGAGGGCAGCTGTCCCCGCCAGTGCACTTCAGCGGCATTACTCATTGAGGTTTTGCATCAGTTCAGCCGAATTGAGGAACTTCAAGTTGGGGGTTGATAGGAAAACAAACACTTTGACACTCTTCCTCAGTCGCTTCTATACATCTTTTGCCTCTGTTGTACATCTGTGTTTTGAATGTGTTTTTGTAAATTGATTGCTTCGCCTGTTTATCTCTGTAAATCAGGATTTCTCAACCTTAGCCATTTTAAGCTGTGTGGAGTTCAACTCACAGAATTTCCCAGCCATTAAGAGGAATGGCTTTGTTTTGTTTGTTTGTTTGTTTAATTAAATCTCCTCTGTAAGGCCATAGAACAGTGATGGCGAACCTTTTAGAGACTGAGTGCCCAAACTGCAACCCAAAACCCACTTATGCATCGTCGAGTGCCGGGTGGGTGTGGCCCATTGGCTGGGTGTGGCCAACTGGGTGGGCGTGGCTGCGGTGGTAATGGCAGACTGGGTGGGACTAAAAAGTTCAATCAATTAATTCCAACTTTGCAAGATCTTTTTTTTCCCCACGAAAAGTTGAAATTGACTGATTGAACCTTTTTGTTTTTTTACACATGGCGGCAGAGGCCTAAAGCGCAAAGGTTTTATAAAACCCAGCTGAAGGCCTAGGACTGGGGCGATGGCACGCGTGCCCACAGAGAGGGCTCTGAGCGCCGCCTCTGGCACCCGTGCCATAGGTTCGCCACCACTGCCATAGAACCACAGACTCTGGCCAGCTTACAAACTATGTAATTTGATTAAGTTTCATTTCTCCTGTGGGGCACAGCTGAGGCTCAAGGATGAAAACTCACCTTTTTAACAGGAGCGTCTATTTTTGGTGTCTTGACTCCTGGCAGCTACCCGGACAAATAAATGCAACTTTTTCAGAAGTGGTTTGTCATTGGCTTCTTCCTTCGGCTGAGATAGAAAAACTGGCCTAAAGTCTCCCAGCTGGCTTCTCTGCCTAAAGCAGGATTAGAACTCATGGACTCCTGATTTCCAGCCCACCCTTTAATCACTACTCCAGTGTTTCTCAATCTTGGCAACTTTACGATAAACTTCCAAGGCTGAGAAACACTGCACTAGTTTGAATTGGCACTCAGGAACACCTACAATGTGGCCATTTTGTTCTCAAGTGTGTTCATAACCATCTATCTCTGGAACTTACATTTTTTATATTTTACTGGTGCAATGGCATGGGTCTCACAACAATTACTTTTGCACCAGTTTTTTTGTTTCTTAGTTTCTGATGTTTTTGATGGTGCAGTTTTCTGTATAAAATAAGCCTCGTGTACAGCATCCAGAGAACCACAGATGTGGGGTTGCTTAGAAACACAGTCAATAAACAAATGTGTTGCCTGGTCAGCAGATCGAGATAAATTCTGCTGTCTCTGTTTAATCTGGGATCGGTGCCCTCCTGAATTTCTCATTGGTGTTATTCAAACCGAGAGCCGGTTTGGTGTGGTGCAGGAGTCTCCGAACTTGGCAACTTTAAGATTTGTGGACTTTAACTCCCAGAATTCCCCAGCCAGTATAGTTGCAGTGGACCATGACCAGAGCCCTGGTGTAGTGGATAAGATGCTGGTCCAGCAACTGGAAGACCGTGAGTCTTAATCTTCCTTAGTCTTCCTTTTCAACACCAGCAGAATGACTTTGAGATAATCCCTCCCTCTCAACTGAATCCGCCTCACAGGGTTGATGTTGTGGGGAAATGGATGGCAGCATTATGCACACTGCCTTGTATTGCCCAAAATCAAAGGAGGACGATTTCAGAATGCACTGAATTACAAGCGAGTCAACTTCACGTGTTGTATGATGGAGAGCCAGTTTAAAGTAGTGGCTAAGAGGCTGGCCTAGAAAGCAGAGGACACTGTGAGTTCTCGTCTAGCTAGTTGGGTGACTTCGGGCCAGTCACTTCTCTCAGCCCAACCCACTTCACAGGATGGTTATTGTGGAGAATGGATGGATAGATGATTAGATAGATAGATGATTAGATAGATAGATAGATAGATAGATAGATAGATAGATAGATAGATAGATAGATAGATAGATAGATAGATAGATAGATAGATAGATAGATGATAGATAGATAGATAGATAGATAGATAGATAGATAGATAGATAGATAGATAGATAGATAGATAGATAGATACTATGTTTTGACAAAAATAAGACCTACCCCAAAAATAAGCCCGGGAGGTGGGCATAGCCAGCATAAGTGGCGGGCACACAGGGGCCGATGGTGTCGAGCCGCAGCCCGCTGGCCCCTTGGCGCAGAGCAGGTAAGTCTGCGTGCGGAGGTGGGGGGAACTGTTTGGGCACCTGTGGGGCACTTGGAAACAGAGCGATTCGCTCGGTTACCAAGCGGCCCATAGGCACCCAAACACTTTTCCTCCAAACGGAGATCTGATGGACACTGGAACTTCGTCTGCTTGCGAATGGGGCGCTTTGAAACGGAGCGCTTAGCTCCGTTTCAAAGCACCCCATTCACAAGCAGACAAAGATTCCAGTCTCCATGAGATCTCTGTTTGGGAGAAAAGTGTTTGGGGGCCTATGGGGCAGCTCTACCCACACCCCCAGCTGCCTCGCCACGCAGCCTCCTGCCTAGAGCGGGTCACAGAAATAGGCCAGCAGTCACACGGCCTCCTGCTGGTTGGAGGTGTTGCCGCCGCAAGACAAGACAGGTATTGGGGGGAAAATAAGACCCCCCCACCCGAAAATAAGACCTACTGCCTCTTTTGGAGGCAAAAAAGTATAAAACCGGGTCTTATTTTTGGGGAAACCCGATAGATAGATGGATGGATTTGACAACAGAATGGAATCACTCTGAGCAGAGGCAGTCTACCTTATTTAGCACATCGTGCAAGAAGGGAAGGATATTGCTTTTAAGCCTTGCTTATGCATTTCCTGGAAATCTGAAGCCAGTACCAAACAGACTGTAAACTGAGATATGTTTTTTCTTACCCCAGATGCCTCAATTTCTGTAATACAGGTTTTGTTTGTTTGCTGAAGTTATATTCTCCCTTTCCTGCAGGAGCTCAAAATGGCATCTGTAGCACTCCCTTTCCCTATTTTTTTCCTATTACTTACAACCCTGTAAGGTAGGTTAAGCCCAGCCTTGCCTTCTCCAATTCCTCCAGCATCTCGTACGGCCGGCTTGCCAAGCTCTTTGGTGTTGCTGTGGATTATGGTGATTGGAATCAGCTTTTCTGGAGAGAGGCAACTGGGTTGGGAAAGACTGAGCTAAACTGCAGCAAACAGGTTCATTTCGGAAGAAAATTAGTAATTTGTTGTCTTGAGCTTCAAAAGGAGATCTTCGCTTATCTTCTCCTTTTCGCAAGTTGGGTAAACATTCACTGGATTTCCGCTTTCTTAACAGAACTGAAATGGGTGCTTACAGGATGCGGTGACAGCAGCTTCTGAGTGGTTTCTTAGTAATCGGGGGAGTCACAGCATCCGTCTGCTGCTGCCTTCTCCCTACTTCAGTGGTTCTCAACCTTTTTAATGCCGCGACCCCAACCGGTCGTAAGTCAAGGACTAAACCGGTCGTAAGTCAAGGACTAAACCGGTCGTAAGTCGAGGACTACCCAACTGGTCGTAAGTTGAGGACTTTCCCTGCCCGGGAGCGCCGCACATGCGTGGTTCCGCCCCCTGCACTGGCCGAGGCGTAGCTGGCAAGCGGCAGAGACGGAGCAGGCCGACCACCAGCTGGCCCAGCCCAAGGGAAGTAAGGCACCCGCTGGAAAAGGGGAAAAAAATGGACAAAAAAATGGCGGACAGCCTTGCTTGGCGACCCCCGTGAAATGGTCGATCGACCCCAAATGGGGTCCCGACCCACAGGTTGAGAACCACTGCCCTACTTGCTCCCACACTGCATCTGATGAGAGGCCTTTTTGAGAATTAGCGGAGTCTTCTCCAAATGTGGCTTTCTGGATGAGATTGGGTGAGGAGTTCATTGGGATTTTTATACATGGTTCTCCACAAACAGGATCGGTGGAAGGTCCAACATTAAGAGGTGTCTATCTGTGCATACTGGTTTGTGGAAAGGAGGAACTGGCCCTGTGTGGCTTTGGCAGCCAATGGAGGTGGTCCCAAAGGAACTTGGATTGATTGGTGCTGGGTCTATCCAGGGCTGAGAAGCAGATAAGGAAACTCCCATATTCAGAGTAAGTCTATCGATACTGGGAATGAACTTTAGGCTTTGCTCACATGTCCTGGCAAGCATCCCACGGGGGATACCAGATGCTGGACTAGAAGGACTTTGGATATGATTATTTTAAATTCAGACACCACCCCAGGAAAATTATCAGACAGATTCTTATAAGGCACACTGAGTGGGAAGCAATTAAAGGAAACTTAAAGGAATTAAATAGCTGACTTTAGAAGGGAGGGGAAGAGGAGGTGTCTTCTTGTTTACCTCCCCCTTTTTTTTCCTCAGTCAGGCAACCTTCACAGCTATTACTGCTCCAGAGTAATTTCTGTTATCTTTTTTCAGTGATAGGTGCAGCGTATTAGAAGTGTTAGGAAGCAATGAAGATTCTTCAAATCAGTGAAGATTCTAAGAAATCAGAGTCTCTCTTTTTCTCTTCAAATGTGAGGCTGAGAACTCTTTTCTTCTTGCACATGTCAATCATAGTACAGCTAGTTCTCAACTTACAATCAGTCACTTAGTGACCATTCAAAGTTACGAAGGAAATGGTATAGGGTTTCCTGCCTGAGCAGGGGGTTGGACTAGATGATCTCCAAGGTCCCTTCCAACTTTACTATTATTATTATTAAGGACTTCCCCAGAGCTACTTATGACCCGGTTCCAAAGTTATGATGGCCACGCCTCTGCAGTCACATGACCAAGCAGGTCAGATACTTGACAACAGGCCCGTGTTTATGGTCATTTGCAGCATCCCATGGTCATATGACCATGTTTTACTACATTTTTGCTGAAACCAGTTTTTGGCAAAAACGCCCAATAACAAACCATGGGTTTGCTTTACGACCACAGTGTTAGCTTAAAAAGGTCATAAAACCGGATCAGTCACATGGATGACCCGCTTTATGACTGTCACGACTTACAACCATAATAGGCAGGCTACAATTAGGATCATAAATTGAGAGCTATTTCTATTGCTGTTGTGTACATCTTACTATTGTTACTGTCTTTTTCTCAAAGTTGCATTTCCACTAAGGCAAGTTTTTTGACCCAGCCATGTGTGTAAATACTACCTTGTTTTTTTTAAATGGGAATTTGAATAGAATATAAAAGAAGTACCCAAAGAACCATATTTTAGAATTTATTTTGAGACCGTCCTTTTCCCACCTCCCTCAAACTTCTTTGTATATATTTTTGTCTTGCAGATTACGAATTTCACCAGTGGAATTCAAAAGGAGATTTAAAGGTGTTGGTTATAGCAGTCGTCCCTGGAAGGCACGTCGTGCTGGTGGTGGTTTCCTAGATCTCAGAAACTTTGGGGAGCAGGAGATGGCCAACCCTTTGAAACAAGTTTTTAACAAGGATCGGACCTTCCGGCCTAAACGGAAATTTGAACCCGGGACACAGCGATTTGAGCTTCACAAAAAGGCCCAGGCATCCCTTAATGCCGGGCTGGATTTAAAGCTGGCTGTGCAGCTCCCACATGATGAGGAACTGAACGATTGGGTGGCTGTTCACGTGGTGGACTTTTTCAACCGCATCAACCTCATTTATGGGACAATAAGTGATTATTGCACAGAAAAGTCCTGCCCGGTCATGTCCGGTGGCCCAAAGTATGAGTATCGGTGGCAGGATGAGAAATACCGCAAGCCCACTGCCCTTTCTGCGCCTAAATACATGAACTTTCTCATGGATTGGATTGAAGTACAGATCAACAACGAGGATCTCTTCCCTACAAATGTTGGTGAGTTTGATGGGAAGAGGTTGAACAGGCCGGGAAGAAAATTAGAGAATTGATCATAAAATGAACATGAGCTTTAGGCAAAAATGGCTAATGCAACTGTATACTTAATAGTCGTGGAATTACAAGTGCAAGTAGTCCTCGACTTACAACAGTTCATTTAGTGACCGTTCAGAGTTACGACGGCACTGAAAAAAGTGACATGACCGTTTTTCATACTGTGTTTCCCTGAAAGTAAGGCCTATACCAACAATAAGCCCTAGCTTGATTTGGGGGTATGGGTCTAATGTAAGCCCTATCCCAAAAATAAGCTCTAGTTTGGGGGCGAGGTACACACCTAAAAATCAAGCTAGGGTGGGAGTGGGGAGCTGCCCTATCCGCCCTGCACCCACTTACCTTGCAGCCAGGCCTCTCCTTGCTGGCCCACTTCTTCTGTGGCCTCTTCTGCAGCCAGGCCTGCATTTCTCAGTCACAGGGCTGATTCAATCCATAGCTCTGTTCTGCAAGACCTCAGCAGCCAAGCGCCAAGCTATGGATTAAATCTATAGCTCGGTACTTGGCTGCTTAGGCCTTCTGAAAAGGCCTGACTGCAAAATGCAGGCCCGAATGCAGCTGCAGAACTTCAGCCCCAGAAGAAGTGCACCGGCTGGGTGGGGTTGTCGCTGCCTACCCCAAAAATAAGACCTGGTGCCTCTTTTGGAGGCAAAAAAAAAGAAAGACCCGGTCTTATTTTCGGTACTTACAACCCCTGCAGTATCCCCATGGTCACATGATTAAAAATTCAGAAGCTGTGAATTGGTTCATATTTATGATGGTTGCAGTGACCCTGGGTCACATGATATCCCTTTGTGACTTTCTGACAAGCAAAGTCAGTGGGGAACCCTGCTTCACTTAACAACAGTGTTACTAACTTGACTGCAGTGATTCACTTAACAACTGTGGCAAGAAAGATCATAAAATGGGGCAAAATACGCTTAACAAATGTCTCACTGAGCAACATAAATTTGGGCTCAATTGTGGTCATAAGTCGAGGATTACCTATACTCCTCTAACTTACAACCACACCTGGGACCAGAATTTCCATTGCTAAACAAGGCAGTAGTTAAGTGAATCACACCCAATTTTATGACATTTTTTTGGCCTACGGTTGTTAAGCGAGTCACTATAATTGTTAAGTGAATCATGCTGTTCTTAAATGAATCCAGTTTCCTCTATTGACTTTGCTTATCAAGCTGGGAAGGGTACAAATGGCAACCACATGATCCCAGGACACTGCAACTCTCATAGATAGACATCAGTTGCCAAATGCCTGAATTCTAATCACATGACAGGAGGGATGCTGCAACCGTAAGTGTGAGAATATGTAGTAAGTCACTTTTTTGGTGCCACTGTAACGTTGAACGGTCACCAAATAAGTGGTTTTAAGTCGAGGACTACTTGTAGTTATTAAACTCTGCTTTTATGTTATGGTAATTAGATATTGGGGGGGGTGAGATCTAAACCTGGATGAAGTGATAGATACATGGGCTTTGTAGTATGTTCAAAAAAGTCAAGATGGTCATAGCAGGAATGGTGTGATTGAAACTGGTTTTTAGGCGTGTCACTGAGGATGCCAGCAGGAGGCTGAACAAATGCAGTGGGTTGAGACCTCTAAGGACCCCTTTATAAGTGTTTAAAAATATGAAAATAAAAATAGGTGGATTGATACCTAAATGGGCAGAGGCAGCTCTTAAGGAACTTAAAATTCCCAAAATATTGGCTGAACCTAGGAGCAATTTCTGAACAATGAAAGCAGTTCAAGAATGGAGCCATTTACATACAGAAAGGAATGTTGATGAAGTGTTCATTTCATTACGTGACTTTGTGCAATAGCTACGGGGCCCGGAATGTTTTGTAAAAAAAAAAAGGTCAGAATCTTGAGATCTTGATTATTCCTGAGATTGGAGACTTCAAGTCAGGAGATGAAAAGGGGGAAAATGCTCAGTGGCAGCAGACAGATTTAATAAATTAAATTGTTAAATTTCAAACTGGAACTCAGATAACTGGGTTTCAGATAATATATAATCCACGATGTTCTTTGTCAACCTTCATAAGCAAGCAGCCTCCCTCATTCCCTTCTCTTAATTCCACACACACCCCTCACACCATAATGGATGGATATTGAGAGGCAGTTGTATTGAAATCCAGTTCTCCTTGCTTCATCTTCTCTACAGCTGCCTTTACACTCAGCTCTGGCTTGCTCAAGTCTAGTCTGTTGATTAAACAGAATCTCAGGTTAGTGTTCAGCACAGTATTCTGAACTCAGTTTATATCTTGGTGAAATCTTAAATTATAGTCGCCTATTTTGGCTGCAGAGTATGTAGCCCAACTCTCCTTGTGGTAGCTTTTCCTTATTTTCTCTCCTCTTCCTTGGTGCTGGAAAGGGATACTCCAATTTTGGAAATATACAACTTGCATAGATAATATTGGCCTAGTCATCTAAATTGTCTGCCATCTTTCCTGCCATGGATATGATAAATTGATTAAATAAATTGAGGGAGGGAGGGAGGGAGGGAGGAGAAAAGGAGGAAGGAAAGAAGATTAATTGTCATGGTCTTCCACAGGTACTCCATTTCCTAAGAACTTCCTCCAAGTTGTGAAAAAGATCCTCTCCCGTCTCTTCCGCGTCTTTGTCCATGTCTACATCCACCACTTTGATCGTATCGCCCAAATGGGCTCGGAAGCCCATGTGAATACCTGCTACAAGCACTTCTACTATTTTGTAAAAGAATTCAATCTCATAGACAACAAAGAATTGGAGCCTCTGGTGAGTGCAGGGTTGGGTCTGCTTTTGCTAGCATCCCACTTTGGAAGCCGTGGTTCAGATACCTGATGAGTGTCATTTTGCGGGGTGGAGGGCTCCCCTTCCTGAGTTACCCAAAGTATGGCACAATTTCATCCAGAACCAGTGGGATTTGGCAATCTCTGAAGGGTTGGGTTGTTTTAAGAAAAAAGGTACATTTTTATTTAAGGCACAGTATTCATTAGGACGGGTTATTGCTGAAGCTTAGTATATTAATTTATATAACCATCCATTTCTGAGTGGCTTACAATAAAACAAAACAGCTCTTACATCTATTAAAAACAAGGCAGACTACAAATAAATAAGACCATGGAAGAATGTTTTTAAAAATGAATATAAAAAATATATACAGTATTTATTCCATTTCAGTTTCCCTGATGCATAAAATGCATGTCATCAACTTGAGTTTTTTAATTTACTTATTAATTGGCATTAGATATTTAACAATGTTGAATAAACATTAATACCTCTGCAGAAGAAAAGAGAAACAAGGAAGGGAAGGGAGGCACACCCAGGTGCTTTCCATCCATAAATGGACAATCCTTCCAACAGTTTTATGGTTGACAAGGTGGAATAAATGACATTGGACTATTGATACTTATTCATTTTATTTATTTAGAAAATGTATATGGCTACCTATCTGAGCTATGTAACTCTAGGCCGCTAACAGCTATCAGCAAAAAAACAATAAAATCTCTATAGACAAAACTAAAAAACAGAATGAAAATTATCATATAATAATGGATACACTATATAACCCAGTGTTTCGCAACCTTAGCAACATGAAGATGGCTGGACTTCAACTCCCAGAATTCCCCAGCCAGTACGCTGGCTGAGGAATTTTGGGAGTTGAAGTCCACACTTCTTAAAGTTTTGACTATTCCATAAGGCAAATGCCACAAGAGAGAAGGCACATCTTCTTGGTTTCAGAAGACAGTGGTGTTTAATGGAATGGACCTGGAGTGCTCCAGCCCTCTCAAATCGTGTGGGATGGGCAAATATGGGATGGAGATAGATAATCTCATAAGTACTACCTTGCAGGGCTGTAAAGGTGATAACCAGCAGCTTGAATTGCACCCAGAACTACCTTGACAATGTGACCACAGAGAATGGAAAGAAAGGCTGGAGGAGATGCCCATTTAACCCTGGCACCAGGTGGTGTTGGTGGTGTTCTGCAGTCTGAACCCAGCACTGTTTAGGTTGGCTGCCTTCTTTGGCATAGAAAGGAATTAAAATGGCATACAGTTCCATTGTCAGCTGTAGTCCTACCCAACTGTTCCCTGCATTGAAATTAGCCTCCAGAAAGACTTAATGGGCTGTTTTTAAAAAAATAAATACAGGTAGTCCTTGTCTTACAACCACAATAGAGCCCAAAATTTCTGTTGGTAAGCAAGGCAGTTGTTAACTGAGTTCTGCCCCATTTTGCGACCTTTTTTGACACAACTGTTAAGTGAATCGCTGCAGTTGTAATATTATGTGGTGGTTAAGGGAATCTGACTTCCTCCATTGACTTTGTTGGAAGCCAACTAGGAAGGTTACAAATGAAGATCAATGATCCCGGGACAGTGGAACTGTCGTAAATTCATCCCAGTTACCAAGCACCCAAATTTGGATCATGTAGCCATGGGGATGCTGCAACAGTCGTAAGTGTGAACAATGGTCATAAGTCCTTTTTTTTTAGTGCCGCGGTAACTTCGAATGGTCACTAAAAGAATGGTTGTAAGTCAAGGACTACCTTTATTTTACTCTGAATGTAATTCCCACATGCAGGGCGGCTTCTGTTGTACCCATCAGTTCTACATGAGTTTGTTTGCTTTTCTTGAGTTGTCATTGGCACAAGGGTCAAATGACAACTCTGCTTTTTTTTTTAATTGCATTAATTTTGAGATCCTGTGGTATGGATATACACTAGCCCTGATGATGTTACCTAAGGTAGATAATGAAACGTCTGCAAGAAACATTTGGTGCAAACTTAGTCCAGGATGGCTGATAGGGGGCCATACCGAGACTCTAAACTTTACAGTGGCTCCCGGAATGGAGCACCCCTTGAGTTGCCCTCCTTCCAGTGCCAGAGTGACTTTCCTCACTTTAGCGCCATCAGTGGGTATTTTGGGGGCATACTACTGCACGTAGATCACTGGGAAATGAAAAGAATTGCTTTACACTTTGTGCGGGACTCTCAGATTCCACCTGATGTTTGACCTGGCCCAGGTGGAAAGCAAGTCTCTTGAATCCATTGACTTGAATCAAAAGAACGTTTACTGAGGGAAACTGGATGCAGTAAAGTCAGGCGGAATCTGAGGGTCTTGCGCAAAGCACAAAGCAATTCTTTTGGTTTCCCCAGTCCCAACCCCCCTCCCCCTATCAACCCACTGGCAACTAGTGTGATCCAAGAAGACATTTCGAGAATGCTGAGGTGATAGGCAGATAACAATTCACACTCAGGGCACGAAAACCAGCTGGGAACAACTCTGTCCCATCTCTGAAGAGAGTCCCACTCCCTAATCTCCAAGCGAACAGCAGAAGCGGAAAAATCCCAAGCATGCCATCCCCTGTCCCCCCTCAGCGTGATGACAGGACACCAGAGTACGATGGATTAATGACTATTTTGTGGTGGTTGTTAAGCAAATCAGTGGTTTGCTATGGGCTGTCTTTGCTGAAAACCAGAAATAAATGCAGCTTTTCGGCAAAACTGTTGTAAAACACGACATTGTGACCCCAGGACTCTGCCAATAGCCATTGATACGGTCCGGTTGCCAAGTGCCCAGAGTGCAGTCACATAACCTAGGAGGGGAGGTGGCCATTTTGACTTCAAAATGGAGTCATTAGTGCCCACAGGAAGGGCTATCAAAACTTTGAATGGTTATTAAGTGACCAGTTGTAATTCATGGGCTACTTTAGTTCAGTATACGAGTAGTCCTTAACTTACAATGGTTCATTAAGTAACCGTTCCAAATTACAACAATACTGAAAAAAGTCACTTAGGACTGTTTTTCCCATGACCATGGTAGCATTAGGGTTGCCAGGTCTGCTTCCAAAAAATAGTTGACAAGCGGGGGGGTGGGGTTTAAGTAGTAAAAAAAGTAGACTGTACAGCTTTAGATTACGTACCATTTCATCATAAAGCTTTTGAATAAAAAAATGTCCACTATTTTGTGAAAGAAAATAGTGAACATAATGTGAAAAAAGCGGACTGTCCACTCAAATAGTGGACACCTGGCAACCCTAGGTAGCATCCCCATGATCACCTGATCAAAATTCAGACGCTTGGCAACTGACTCATATTTATGACGGTTGCAGTGTCCCGGAGTCCTGTGATCACCTTTTGTGATCTTTTGACAAGCAAAATCAATGGGGAAACCCGATTCACTTAACAATCATATTACTAATTTAACAACTGCAGTAATTCACTTAAAAACAGTGGTCAAAAAAAAAAAGGTAAAATGGGGCAAAACTCACTTAACAACTGTTTCACTTAGCAACAGAAATGTTGGGCTCAATTATAGTCCTAAGTCGAGGACTACTTGTAATAACATATTTTTTTAGAAATGTGATTTCTAAGTGACATTTAATTGTGCTCTCTTTGACAGAAGGACATGACTTCGCGGATGTGTCACTGACGTCTTGGGAATTTGTCTGCCGTCTTTCAAGCCGATGCCGTCAGAAAACCTGGCTCTGGATTGAAGACCATCCCTGCCCACCAGACAAGATCTTATGATCTAGAGGGACTTTCATTTTTATACACCTCTGTTTTTTGTTTTTTTAAAGAAGAGCTTTTCCAAGCTCTTGTAATGAAATGTTTTGTAAAATCACTCTGATTGCTGGATGATTGAAGTATGTACGTTCATTTAAGAAAGAAAAGAACCACCGTTAAATGTAAGGCATCCTTTAGATCTCCATGTCTTTCTTCTTGTGTCACGGGGCCGGGGGGGGGAGGGGGGGCTGATTTGGAAGTGTTGTTTTGAGGTTTCCCGCCAAAACAGAAGTCAACACTTGTGGGATCAAGCAAGCACCCAACTGAAATGGGGAGAAATCCACTGACACACATGTAAGTAGCTTAGGAGTCTGCTTCGGCCGTTAATTGGAATCACCCGTGTTGCAAAAAAAATAAAGTTTTAGCACTTCTTTCACTTCAAATCTCCTGTTGGAATGTGTATGTAGCGGCTCTGCTTCCTGTTCTCCCAAGAAGATGAACAGAAATTATCTTGTGGCAATTTAACCTTTCCCTTTTTGGTCACGCGCAGTGAGCCAAACGATAGGTAGTCCTCGACTTACAACTGTTTGGTGACCATATGAAGTTACAACCGCACTGAAAAAAGAGATTTGTGACCATTTTTCACACTTACAACCATTGCAGCATCCCCATGGTCATATGATCCAACTTCAAATGCTTGACAACTGTCTCATATTTATGACAGTTGCAATGTCCCGGAATCATGTGGTCACATTTGTGACCTTCTGACAAGCAAAGTCAGTGGGGAAGCCAGTTTCACTTAACAACCGTGTTACTAACTTACCAAATGGAGAGATTCAGTTAACAACTGTGACAAGAAAGGTTGTACATTGGGGCAAAATTTGCTGAACAGATGTCTCACTGAGCAGCAGAGATTTGGGGCTCCAATAAGTGTGTGAAAAATGGTCATAAGTCACTTCTTTCAGTGAACGGTCACTAAATGGAAGGTTGTAAGCACTTCTACTATTTTGTGAAAGAGTTCAATCTCATAGACAACAAGGAATTGGAGCCTCTGGTGAGTGCAGGGTTGGGGCTGCTTTTGCTGGCGTCCCACTTTGGAAGCCGTGGTTCAGATACCTGATGAGTGTCATTTTGGGGGGTCGAGGGCTCCCCCTTCCTGAGCTACCCAAAGTATGGCACAATTTCATCCAGAACCAGTGGGATTTGGCAATCTCTGAAGGGTTGGGTTGTTTTAAGAAAAAAAGGTACATTTTTATTTAAGGCACAGTATTCATTAGGACGGGTTATTGCTGAAGCTTAGTATATTAATTTATATAACCACCCATTTCTGAGTGGCTTACAATAAAACAAAACAGCTCTTACATCTATTAAAAACAAGGCAGACTACAAATAAATAAGACCATGGAAGAGTGCTTTTAAAAATGAATATAAAAAGAATAAACAGTATTTATTCCATTTCAGTTTCCCTGATGCATAAAATGCATGTCATCAACTTGAGGTTTTTTATTTACTTATTAATTGGCATTAGATATTTAACAGTGTTGAATAAACATTAATACCTCTGCAGAAGAAAAGAGAAACAAGGAAGGGAAGCGAGGCACACCCAGGTGCTTTCCATCCATAAATGGACAATCCTTCCAACAGTTTTATGGTTGACAAGGTGGAATAAATGACATTGGACTATTGAGATGTATTCATTTTATTTATTTAGAAAATGTATATGGCTACCTATCTTAGCTATGTAACTATAGGCCGCTATCAGCAAAAAACAATAAATTCTCTATAGACGAAACCAAAAAACAGAATGAAAATTATCATATAATAAGTGACCATAAGTCACTTTTTTCAGTGAACGGTCACTTAATGAAAGGTTGTAAGTCGAGGACTACCTGTATTCTATGACGGATATCTACAGCAGTGCTTAAATGTTGGCGAACTCTTGAATTTTCAACGTTTCTGCATAAATAATGTATGCTCCAGAATGTAAGCTGTTTGTTATCCACACATCCTAAATACATAGCTTTGAATCACTCTCGTCAATAAATCAATAAACAAGTATAATGTTTTTGACTCATCAGTTTAATGGGTTTGCTATCTAATTTTAGGATTTGTGTGGCAAATAGAACGTATTTTAGGTCATGTTTATGCGGAAATGCTAAAGATTCAAAAGGGTTCACATACTTTTAAGCACCACTGCACAACTTCCAATGTCTCTATTTTTATTCTAATGAATGTTGGAGACTGTGGAACTCTATTGCTAAAATCTGAACCTGGCCGTTGATTCAGTTCCCTCCCCCTGACGCAAAGCAAATACCGTGGCTTCCGTGTTAGGACTTCAGCGTATGAAGTATGAAGTCAGTCATGGTGCCTTGAAAATCATGTTTAGAGCTCATGATCCTGGTAAACTCAGCCAATGGGGTTATACAGGTAGACCTCAACATGCAACAGTTCATTTAGTATTTAGCACAAGCAAATACCATTTTCACATTCTGGAGAAACACTACAGGTAATCCTGGACTTACAATAATTCATTTAGTGACCATTCAAAGTTAGAACAGCACTGAAAAAAGTAACTTATTACAGTTTTAAGAGCCGTGGTGGCGCAGTGGTTAGAATACGGCAGGGGTCTTCAAACTTGGCCCTTTTATGACTTGTGGACTTCAACTCCCAGAATTCCTCAGTCAGCATGCCCAGCTGAGGAATTCTGGGAGTTGAAGTCCACAAATCATAAAAGGGCCAAGTTTGAAGGCCCCTGGGATACGGTATTGCAGGCGAATTCTGCTGAATGCTAATGCCCGCAGTTCGGCTGTTTGAGTCTCATCGGCTCAAGGTTGACTCAGCCTTTCATCCTTCCGAGATCAGAAAAATGAGGACCCAGATTGTTGGGGAAAATATGCTGATTCTGTAGATAGGGCTGTAAAGCACTATGAAGCGGTATATAAATCTAAGTGCTATTGCTATTTTCACACCACCGTTGCCGCATGGCCATGAGGTCAAAATTCAGATGCTTGGCAACTGACTAGTATTTATGACGGTTGCACTGTCCCGGGTCACGTGATCACCTTTTGTAACTTTCTGACAAGCAAAGTCAACGGGGAAGCCAGATTAATTTAACAACCACGTTACTATCTTAACAACTGCAGCGATTCCCTTAACTGCGGCAAGGAAGATTGTAAAAATGGGGCAAAACTCATTTAAGAATTGTCTCACTTAGCAACAGAAATTTTGGGCTTGATTTTGATCATAAGTTGAGGACTACCTGTACCATGTTGGGAAAACCCAACCCAGCTTTCCTCAGCTAATTGCACTGGAGGCAATTTGAATGGAAGTTGGGAGATAAATGGTGTTTTCTTGGGTCTTTCCCCTGAAAAATTCCCCTCGCGACTCACTTCTCGGATTGAGGGACATTCTAGCAGGGAGCGTCCAATTTCCTATAAACGCTTCTGAGCCACTTCGGTGTGCCAGCAACGCTTCATTCTGGAAAGAGCAGCTGTAGCCATACCAGGAACAGCTTCTAGAAGGAAGTCCTGTGTAATTACTGAATCAACAGCTGGAAGCACTTTAGAAACTCGTTTTTTTTTAGGATTATTCTAGATGTTTAAACGCTTTTTTGTTGCTCTGATTTGTGGAGTGTGTGTGTGATTTTGTTTCCTGAGCAAGCAGCATCATTTCCACACTTGTGATTTCTGTTGGCTAAGGAAGAGGATTATACTGTATTTTTCAACAGTCCAGTTTGGTATATTCTGATTTTGTGACACCGTATCTATTTTAAAAAGCAAGATAGAATAGTCTTTGACTTATGCTTAGCCACTCTTCAAAGTTACGATGGAGGTATCTTACAACCTACTTACAATTTACTACGGGTAATCCTCAACTTACAACCATAATTGAGCCAAAATGTATATTGTTAAGTGAGAAAGTTGTTAAGTGAGTTTTGCCCCATTTTGCAACTTTTCTCACCACATTTGTTAAGTGAAGCACTGCAGTTCTTAAGTTAGCAACACGGTTGTTAAGTGACCCATTGACTTGTCAGAAGGTTGCAAAAGGGGATCACATGACCCTAGGACACTGCAACCTTCATAAATGTGAGTCAATTATCAAGCATCCGAATGAAAATTTCGTGACCATTGGGATGCTGGAATGGCCAAGTGTGAAAAATGGTCATAAGTCACTTTTTTCAATGCCATTGTAACTTTGGTCACTAAATGAACTGTTGTAAATCGAAGACTACCTGTAGTAAATTATAACTTGGGTTCAAAATTCCAATGGTTGCCATAGCCCTCATGGGACCAAATTCCAGGTGCTCAGCAACACAGCCACATTTACTCCATGTGCAGCAGCCTAATGGCCCCACGATTGCATTTACCACAGTTTTACTGAAAGCCAGCAAAACCGTGCCCATAGTAAACCATTGGTTCACTCGAGAACTGCAGATTCACTTAACAACCGTGGTGATTTGTTTAGTGACCACTGCAAAAGAAAAATCTGTAGAATCGGGTCACTCGTGTGACTGACCACTTTTACAACTGGGGTGACTTATGGCTGTGATGGGCAGGTTTTATTATGTCCGTAAGTCGAAGACTGCCCGTATTTAAACTGGCTGCTTTCTGTTCTGTTCTGTGGGGAAACTAGCCACGTTTTTCTGTTTCAGTAAACCAGCATTTTGATTTGTCAGATACGCCCATGCTGTGAGAAGGGCGCCAGTTTTTATCTGGGGAGATTTGGGATGCGGGCGGTAAGAGGAAAAAAGGGGGTGAGCTTTCAAAGCTGGTGAAGCATCCCTTTGGTCCCGTAAAACCTTCCCCCAAATGCCTCCCTCTTCTTTGTGGCAACCCCTGAGATATTGAAAGACTGTTATAATGTCACCCCTAGTCCTTTTTATTAAAAATATTTTAGCCCTGCCTTAAATATGCAACCAGCTGGGCAACGTTGAACCAGTCTCCCACTCTCAAGCCTAGGAAACCATTAAGGGCAAACCATTTCTGAAAATCTTGCCAAGAAAACTGGAGGAACTTATCCAGGGGGTTTCCAGAGCTCAAGACTTACCCAAAAGCACACAGATACAAAGCATGTGTACCTTTTGTTGTTCAGTCAAGTCATGTCCATCTCTTTGTGACTCCATGGACCATGGTATTCCAGGCCCATCTGTCCCCCATTGTCTCCCAGAGTTTGCCCAAATTCATGTTCATTGCATCGCTGACACTATCTAACCATCTCATCC